TGAGTTAATCTTTCTAAATGTATATGTACACTTTTCAAAGTATCACATCGTACCCCATAAATATATACAGTTTTTGGTCAAATTAAAAAATAAATAAATAAAATTTAAAAACAAATGAAAGGAACACAGAGCTTGAAGTCCACCTCTTTGCTATTACTAATAGAACCTCTCTTTTACTTCATGATACTTGACCTTTCTTAGTCTCAGCTTTCTATTTAGCTATAGACAAAATTGTTACAAAATAACAAGGTGCAGAGTTTTGAGATACAGTGCAACGTTTTCCCTTTTTCGGGACACGATTCTGTGCCTTTTGACAAAAGCATGCAACCACGTGACCAACCCAAGAATTAAGATCTTGGACATGTCCACACCTCCATAAGGTGCCCTCATGCCCTTTTAAAGATGATCTTCTACAGCCCAGGAGAACCACTGATTGATTTTTTCTCTCTCTCTCTCTCTCTCTCTCTCTCTCTCTCTCTCTCTCTCTCTCTCTCTGTTTTTCCCTTTTCTATAAAGCCAAATAAATGGCATTGTATGTAGACTTTTGAGTATGTATTCTTCCACTCAGCATAATGTATTTGAGAGGCATCCATTCTATGGTACGCATATTATGTTATCAGTACTTAGAACCTGTCTTGCTGTCCAGTAGTGTTTCATTGTGCGTACACACCACAGTTTGTTCATCCATTCCCCAGTTAATGCGCATTTGGGATGTTTCCAGTTTTTAGCAAACTAAGAAAGATTTGCTTGCAGGTTATTCTGGGAAAAAGGTTTTCATTCCTCTTGGGTAAATACCCTGGAGTGGGATTGCTGTGTAAGTGTATCTTCAGTTTTATGCAAAACTGCCAAATTGTTTATCAAAGTGTCTGGGCCATTTTATATTTCCACCAACAATGAGCAACAGTCCCTTTTGTTCTATTTGCAGCACTTGCCATTGAAACAGCATGGTACCAGTACAAAAACAGACACGTAGACCAATGGAACAGAGTAGAGATCTCATAAATAAGACCGCACATCTACAGCCATCTGATCTTTGACCAACATGACAGAAAGAAGTAACGAGGTAGGGATTCCCCATTTACTAAATAGTGCTGGGAGAACTGGCTAGCCACATGTAGAAAACTGAAACCAGACCCCTTACTTACACCTTATACAAAGATTAATTCAAGATGGATTAAAGACTTAAATGTAAAACCTGAAACTATAGAAACCCCAGAAGAAAATCTAGCCAGTGCCATTCAGGATATAGGCACGGGCAAATACTTCATGACAAAAATATCAAAAGCAATTGCAACAAAAGCAAAAATTGACAAAGGGGATCTAGTTAAACTAGAGAGCTTCTGCACAGTGAAAGAAACTATCATCAGAGAGAACAGACGACCTACAGACTGGGAGGAAATGTTTGCAATCTATCCATCTGACAAAGGTCTAATATCCAGAATCTACAAGGAACTTAAAGATATTTACAAGAAAAAACAACCCCATTAAAAAAGTGGGCAAAGGACATGAACAGACACTTTTCAAAAGAAGACATTTATGTGGCCAAAAAACACATGAAAAAAAGCTCAACATCACTGATCATTAGAGAAATGAAAGTCAAAACTAATATGAGATACTATCTCATGGCAGTCAGAATGTGATTTTCTTTTTTTATAAAGTCATGAAACAACAGATGCTGGCGAGGCTGTGGAGAAATGGGATCGCTTTTACACTGTTGGTGGAAGTGCAAATTAGTCCAACCATTGTGGAAGACAGTGTGGCAATCCCTCAAAGACATAGTATCAGAAATACCATTTGACCCAGCAATCTCATTACTGGGTGTCTACTCAAAGAAATATAAATCATACTATTATAAAGATACATGCACACGTATGTTCATTGCTGCCCTATTCAGAATACCAAAGACAATGAATCAACACAAATGGCCATCAATAATAGACTGGATAAAGAAAATGTGGTACATATACACCAGAGGATACTATGTAGCCACAAAAGGAACAAGATCATGTCCTCTGCAGGGACATGGATGGATCTGGAAGCCGTTACCCTAAGCAAAGTAACACAGGAACAGAAAATCAACCACCACATGTTCTCCCTTAAAAGGGGGAGCTGAACAATGAGGACATATGGTACACGGGAAGGGGAACAACACACAATGGGGCCTTTCAGGGGGGTGGAAGGAAGGGAGAGCAACAGAATAAATAGCTAATGCATGTGGGGCTTAATGCCTAGGTGATGGGCCAATAGGTGCAGCAAACCACCATGACGCACGTTTACCTATGTAACAAACCTACATGTCGGGCACATGTATCCCGGAACTTAAAATAAATTTTAAAAACACATGAAGATTTTTAATAAAGAAAAAGTTTTAGGTCTAAAAATGACATTATCCATTAACTTCATGAAAGTAGAAATCCAACAGGTCACATTTTTAAAGCACTGTGAAGTGAAAGTTGAAATGTCAATGAAAGTGAAATGAACAATTAATAACTAGCCACATACAATTTTTTTTTTTTGGAGACAGAGTTTCACTTTGTCCCCCAGGCTGGACTGCAATTGTACGATCTTGGCTTACTGTAACCTCCACCTCCCGGGATCAAGCAATTGTCCTGCCTCAGCCTCCCTCCCAAGTAGCTGGGACTACAGGTGCCCGCCACCACATCTGACTAATTTTTTTTTTTTTTAGTAGATACGCAGTTTCACCATGTTGGCCAGGCTGGTCTTGAACTCCTGATCTCAAGTGATCCACCCGCCTCAGCCTTCCAAAGTGCTGGGATTACAGGCGTGAGCCACCGTGTCTGGCCGTCACATACAAATTTTACTTAAGATCAGTGTATACGACTATTGGATTAACAAGAAAATTCAAATTAAGAATATTTTACAAAGTCACAGTAATTCAGAGAAAGTCTTGCGACCAGAGTCAAGGGACTTGAATTTAACTGCTGCTACCAATACCAGTTTAATGTTACAGAAAACATCAATTCTGGCTTTGTCCACTACTATTCACTAAATAGAAGCGATTCTTTCAGAAAAGTGCTGGAAACATAAAAATATCTTCAAATATTAATAAAGCATTCACATTCTAAACTTAATTATACCATATATTATACCAGAGAAGGTGGTGACATTCCAAATAAAACTAAATTCAGAATTTCTCATGGAAAAAAAAAAGGAAGCGTAGTATGAACAGTTCTTGCCTTCGTCTCATCTTATAATTGTGATATGGAGTAGACATATTTTTTCCCATGACTTGGCAAATTTTGTTTCTCAGTTTTAAGTGTTGATCAGCTTCCATCATTTTATTCTTTGTTCTTTCTATGTCATGAACATCTCCAAGGAATCCTGTAGTGTAAACTTTTTTGCAAGTGTCACTTTCACTGGGATATCTTAATCCTTTCCATCAAAATCTTTTTCCAATTTCTGCGTCCAGCATTATTTCTTGTCATTTACTTGCCTGCTTTTCTCTTTGTTGGCCAATTCCCTTTTTAAACTATCCAATTCTTTGGGAAAATGTCACATGAGTAGTTCACTGGGAGACAAGGAGGTAACTCAGCTTCATTCTTGGCTGTTGATGCATGAAATAAATAATAGATACTCAGTGACCAAACACGGTGAGATTTTAAAAGAAAAGTGGCATGACTGGTCACTGATCCTGATGCTCATCTATTACTTAAATAGTGATTTGTGGAGTGACACAAGCAGAATTTGAAAGAAGTGGCATGACTGGCCGCTGGTCATGATTCTCATCTGTAATTTCAGTAGCGACTTGTGGACTGAAAAGCCAGCAGCAAAGTGTGGTCTTTATGTAACTACTGAGAGTTAGTTTACCATGGTAACTGAAATTTGACCCATACTGTGAAGGGAGTGATGTTATTTAACTAAATCACGGTAAATGACCTTCCTGCATATCGGAACTGTGCAAAGGGAGGACTGCATATAAAAATACACTTGACCTATGTTTAATATTAACCTGATATACAGCAACCGAGGTACACTCACTCCTTAGTTCTAGGAAGTTTTTCATAAATTCCTGGAAATTTTGTACATAGCCATCACGTCAGTAAATAGGGACACTTTTTTGATGACTTCATTTCCAGTCTGTGTGCCTTTTAGTGCTTTCCTTTGCTTTATTGTATCGGTTGGGTCTTCCAAGGAGGTATGGAATAGGAATGCTGAGAGTGATTGTCTTTGCTGCAGTGCTATCATTTCAACATGGTGACCAGTATAAACACATTAGTATTTGTCTTCTTTTTTTTTTGTTTTTTACTATGTGTTTGACCCGTAGTATCTTATCATTTCATCACGTAAACAATACACATAAGTTATTCATTATTCTACATTTTTTGTTTCTCACTAAGTCTTGAATATTCAGTGTGCGTTTTACAGTTATCGTACATCACATTTTATAGTAGTCAAATTCCTAGTGCTCAGTAGCCACATGTGGCTAGTGTCTACCATGCTGAACAGTGCAACTCTAGGAGAAGAGCAGAGGGAGCAAATGCATATGGAATGATGTGTACCCTGAAGGAAATGTACATGAAAAACCGGTATGGGAAAGTAAGGGGAGAGAAGTGGGGTAAGTAAGCAGAGGGAAGTAAGAGAAAAACCTCTCGGAGGATGTAACACTTAAGTTATGGCCTGAGTCTTGATGAGCTACCCAACAGCATATAGAGGCCAACGTGGATTGAGCAGAGTCTGCAAGGGGCAAAGCAAAAAAACAAACAAACAAATAAACACATAAATCTGCCATATAGATGGGTTAAATAGCTTTTCCAAATCCCCAAAGAAAAGAGTGGGGGAAACAGACAAATCGTAGAACGATCTGTGCCGTGAGTGACTTGGTGTAGGGTCTTATTTGCCTATTCATTCTTAGCACCAGGAACAGTACCTAATTAATAACAGAACTTTGGTGAATCTATGTGAAATAAGGGCAAACTGAGCCCCAGGCTTCTGAGACCCAGGAAAGGAGATAGCAATATCCTGATAAAGACACCAGTAGGTAGTGGGCATAGTTTGTTTATTGTTACTTATCATTTTAATTGCCAATGGTTTCTCATAAGCAGCCTGAGGCAATCATGAATACAACAAGATCAAAGGAATTCAGTGAGTAATATTATTGGCTTCAGTAACCAGCACCTACTCCAGAAAAACATCCAGGAAAGGTTTCAATTGTCCCGACTGGTGTCAAGTACCCATAAGTGAACCGATCAGTCTGGACGGGGAAATGGTGTGCCATGACTGGGTCAGCCCACGTCACATACCCATCACTGTGGTCATTAACGAGATGGAGGATGTAGAGGGCAATGGGCTAGAGACCCACAGCACTTCTCAATGTCTGCTGTTTCCTTCTTAGGGCTTTTCTCTTATAGAGGTCAGTTACACACCCAATCTCCCCAACACCAGTTTCCTGGAATAGCAGAATTTTACATTATGTGTCTTTAAAAACTGGGCTTCAGGCAAGAACACTCTGTTTTAGTGGCCACACGTCAGTGATGAAACAGCTCCTTGTCCCGTGAAAATCACTCAGGATGGGTGTTCTAGTTCATGTTGTTCTGTTGTACTGCCTGCAGCATCACCTTCAACTGGGCCTGCAGTTCAGCAAGCTTTCATGTCCAAACTGCCACAACAACGCCATTGTTCATAGCCGTGGACAGGAACAGGATAAATCACATACTTCAGCTCCATCCAGGCTGTTAAGTGCTGCAGAGGACTTGTGAGCACAGGCATTGTGATGGGGTTGAAGACAAAGCTAGGAACACAGAGGTGGGAACAGTGGCTCAGGGCTGGGGTGACAACAGAGAAAGTAAAATCAGTTATCAGGCAGTTGTCTACCTCCAGATGCTCCAGGGTCCCTGAGACCTTCTCCAGCAGAGCCAAGAATGACCCAGAAACTTCCCAGGACATCTGATTGTTACTCAGACTCAACAGTTTAGATGGGTAACCTGAGAGCTCTGGGATAGGACAGTGATGTCTCTGGTAGAAAGTCCACAGAGAGACACATACAGTGGATACAAATGAGATAGCAGGACTCTGTAGAGGGAAAAAAGGAAGGTATTTCTGAAGAATGAGGGTTGGACTAGAGCAAGCAGTTCTGAATTATAGATGCTTATGACTCTAGAATAAAGTCATCCGTATGTCCATTGTAACAGCAGTTAACATTGTGGGCTTTAGAGTCAGACTTAATAGATTTGTGACCCTAAGAAAGTTACTTTTCCACCCTAAGACACAGTTTTTTAGTCTTTCAAATGTGTACAATAGCAATTATTATACAGGGTTGTGGGAAAGATTCAGTAAAAAGAATTTAGCTTAGTGCCTACAGTATAATTAGCAGTGTACCTAGTTCACTTACTTGATGGGGATGGGTCTGGGAAAGCAGCCGACTGAGACTTACCTTTGACGAATTTCCAAATGACAAGTTCTCCATTCAAGTCCTAAGCCTTGGGAAAACTACAGGAACAAAATGATGTGGCAGTATTACCTATTGTGACCACTACATGGGGATTTGCATCAGTGCTACAGCATAAGTTATTTCTCCAACTGAACGCCTCCCCTTCTTCTCTAGAAGGCTATAAACTCCAGTAAAAGGACTGTTTTCTCTTTCATCTTAGTGTCTGCACGTGATTAACTGACTGACTGACTGACTGACTGGGCACAGCTGACTTTTCTAATCCTTTCTCCTCAGCATGAGGGACTACATGCTCTAGCTTGGCCAGTTTCAAACACCCAGCAGTGCCCGTGCTGCTGTGGAAGGAGAAATGGGTTACAAGGTGTTTTAAGAATATCTATGACTAGTCGCACTCCTTTGTTCATAATGGGGCATTCAGGGAACCCAGGTCCCTCCCCAGCCCCTCATCCGGAAATTTTGTCCAGCCGATCCATGAGGCAGAAGAAAGACAAGCTGAGTTCCTGGGGGCTGTTCATCTGCTCAAGATGAGTGAGAAAAGTTGAGAAGTTTCTCTGCTTACAGGATTTTAAAGTGATTTTAGACAGACTAAGTCTGTCCAGGTGGGTCTTCGGTGCCAAAAGGGTGTTGACTTCACCCAAATAAGCCCGATCTCCTTCCAGGTGATCAGTGCATCCCAGTTCCAGAAACTGCAGGATGCTTTCATGGGCAGACACTTGATCAATTTGCAAATCTCTGCAGCAAAGGTGCAAGGACCCAAGGCTCTGCTCAACTTTACTCGACAGGAAAGAAAAGAGTTGCCTTCTTCTCAGGGGAAAGGTCCTTTCTCAAGGGAAAGGTCCACTAACAATCCCGTGCATTCCTTGGTTGGGCTGAGACTCAGGCTCTAAACGTACAATTTCCAGGGGCCTAACACTGCACTTGGCTTCTTCTCTTTTCAGGATAGAGTGCTGAGAGTAAACACAAGACTGAAAACAAAATGGAAATGTGCTCCTGATCTAAGAACATGTGGTTCTGCTGTCTGGGTCCTGCCTTAAACCTAGCACCCTCCGTTTTGGCCCCCTGTAGAGAGAGGAAGACAGAACATGAAAGGTAGCTGATTTTAATCTAACCCAGCAAGATCGATGAGGAGAAGCAGGGACAAACCCTTTATCTTTGCTCTTCACTCCACATAAAATCTACCAACAATTTTTTTTTCCATACAAACTCAACATCTTTCATTATTTTCCCCATCCTTCCTTCTCCTCTGATCCCCCCAGTCTCAATGCCCATGTTGTTCTTCTATGTAATCACACCCAGTAGGTAAATCCATCAATAGCATTCTCAATCACCTATATTCCATAATCACCTCTGTAAGACATTAGAGTCTTTAAGGTGACCTCAAGTGTTGGACCACCAACCTCACAGAGATCCTCAGCATTCACCCTCAACTACCTTTAGGAGACTGTTAGGCCATCCCCTGCCTCAGGCTCCAGCATACCCTCCTGATGACTCACTATGTCTCCAGTGTACAGAGGGTTACCAAGAGGAAGAGTTCTGGGCAGGGAAGATATGCAGACCATCAGTCGTGGCTCCCAAGATTTCGTAGTGTGACTCTGTACACTCAGTGGCCCAACACGGAGACAACGGGAAGGCCAAATCCTCACCATGGCCTTCAGTTTCATCTTCTGCCCTCCCAAGAAGGCAATGATAAACAATGGAACATAGAGGCCCCATGGGAGCTCCTCAAGAGCATGGAGAGCTGCAAGCTCTTCACTCGGAAGACCCCATGCAGCAAGCTCTAGCAGTGTGGCTGGCGCCTTTGGGTCCATCTTCACGAACCTGCTTTAGGGTGAGGAGCATTAACAAATCCTGAGAAGATTTCCACAGTCTCTTGACTGCCACCAAGGATAGTAATGAATGAAATACGCATCGAACAAATCTAGGGTGAATCCAACAGCCACTTCAAGAGAACTATACTAGAATAGAAAAAGACTTGTATGTGTGTATAAATGTCTGTGTTTGTGTGTGTGTGTTTGTATACACACATACACACATTTAGATAAGATAAAATGCCATCCAAAATCAGCTGTAAGTCAGCAGAAGGCAACGTCTAACCACCCAGACACCTGCCTCCCAATGTTTCCTGTGAAAAGGATATAAACCAATCACAAAGGAAGATGATGTAAATCTATACAGAAGCCACATCCTCATCGTTACTTAGAAACGGATAATGCCAAATCTTTAGTAACGAGTAAAAAGAGAAAAAGCATGAAATACCAGCACGTGATCTGTCATGCTCCCATCACCAGGCTTCGTGGCAAGCAAAGACAGACCAAGAAAAGCTGCAAGAGATACAGAGAAAGGAAGAGGCAAGTTGATCTGAAACTACAGTTAAAATGACTGGGCCCATACTAAGTCTAAAAAACACCGAAAAGGTGTCCCAGATAATGAGAGCAGGGACTATAGGGAAGGGCCTCTAAAATAGGTGTAAGGTAAAGAGGTAGAGATGATCTTAGAATGTAGTCTTTGGGTTGGGTGCAGTTGCTCACGTCTGTAATCCCATCACTTTGAAAGGCCCGAGGCAGGAGGATCATTGAGCCCATGAGTTTCAGATCAGCCTAGGCAACATAGTGAGACCTCATCTCTGCAAAACCTTAAAACATTAGCCGAGTGTGGTGGTGTGTGCCTGTGGTCCCAGCTACTCGGGAGGCTGAGGTGGGAGGATCGCTGGAGCTCAGGAAGCAGATGTTGCAGTGAGTCGAGATCACACCACTGCACTCCAGCTTGGGCAACAGAGCGAGACTCTGTCTCGAGAAAAGAAAAAAAGTACTCTTTGAAATGCACGGCTTCTGGGGAAGAGTAAGGGCAGACAGCAAGGGAGAAGCATGCTTTGGCACTTTGGTAATGATGGGAAAAGAAACAAGGGGAAAATGAAGAATCTTGAAACACATAGGACAATCACAGAATCACAGCTCTCATCACTTCTTTGTCCACTACCAAAATAAACAAACGAAATCAGTAAATCTAAGGCCTGAATTTTTCTACACTGACAGAAAATAGCACCATTAAAATAGGAATCCAGAAAAACAATCCAATATCATATAAATGAACAAAAGGAAGGAGAATTCCTTACAAATCGTTCCAGAAAGAGAAAAAGAGCAGAAGAAAAAAGTTCACACGTATTAAACAACCATGAGACAGAAAAAAACAACAACTGTAAGTCAACCCTCCAAACAGAATTAATTCCATTCAAAGAAGCATTTGAGATTATAAAACCTGCCTTGATTTAGAATATAATTTAAAATGCTAAACTCAGAAACGGACTTTAAAAAAGTCTGAAGTAATGATTTGATATCCAGCTCAGCTGATCCTTCACAAATATCACGGTTTATAGAAAATCGGACAGGAACTTCGGAAATTATGTACCCATCAGCACTTCCTGAGGACTACACTAGAGAAAGGGTCTACAAACTATGGCCCACTGGTTGGAATATTTACTATATGGCTCTTTACAGAAAACGTTTGCTAACCTATATTCTAAAGGGTGAACTGGGATTGTCATTCCAAAGGTAATGACAGGAAAATCTTCCCTAAAACATCTGAGGGTGAGCTTTTGGTACCTAATACCAATATGAAGGTGGAGCAAGGAAAACGACTAATGTGCATTTATTTTATATTTTGGAAAAAAGAAATAGTGCAAGTAAGTTGAGAGAAATGAGAGGGATAGGAAAAACCATAGTAAACTTTTTTCTTTCATAAGGCAGTAGATGAGTGTCGAAGGAGACTACAGGTTAAAAACTAACTAGTGGACCAGATAGTAAAATGCTCAATAAGAAAACAGGTGCTAAAAATCTTCTTTTTTTTTTTAATGACAAAGTTTACATGTTAACGTTAAAATTGAAACTTCACAGTGAAGATATAATACTTAGGAATATTTATGCACAAATTACCATAGCATCCACCTTCGTAAGGCCAAAAAGTATGGAGACGTTGAACCACAGTAGTAACAGGAGATTTAATACATGGCAAGTCTCAGTACAAGGCAAATCTGGTGGTACAATAAAGAGATGTATACAGAAAATCTAAACAACATAATTAATAAGATACATTGTATGTGTGTATACACACATAGGCATAGATACACACACACACATGCACACATAACTCTACACCTTGGAAATGAAGAATAAACCACCTTGTCAGAAGCTGATGGCATGTTAATGAAACACGACTATAATTATCTCACAGTGAAGACCTCATTAATTTCCTTGAAGTAGAAATATTCCACCCACCCTTTGCAATCGTGATGAAACAAAAGTAGAACTTACTAACAGAAACTGAAATCAGAAAGGGTCTTCTACCTGGAAAAAAAAAATGGTTAAGCCTTCTATTAAGCAAACGTTGAGACAAAAAGGAGATGCAAACTGAAGTTACAGAAATATTTAAGAAGAGTGACAATGAGCGCTTATGTATGAGAATCTGTAGAAGATATTTAAAGCAGTGATTGGAGGCAGATTCAGACCGCTAAATACTCTGATCAGTAAAAATGAAAGAACAAAATTAAATAAATTAAAGCATTGTCTCAAAAATCTACTAAAAGAACAACCAGGGAATCCAAAAGAAACACAAATAAATAAATAATACAAAGAAATTGCCAGTCTTGGTGGCTCACACCTGTAATCCCATCACTTTGAGAGGGTGAGGTGGCAGGATCACTTGAGGCCAGGAGATTGACACCAGCCTGGGCAACATAAGGAGACCCTGCCTCTACAAAAATAATAATAATGATGATAATCATTAGCTGGGCATGATGGAACATGCCTGTAGTCCTACTTACTCAGGAGGCAGAGGTGGGAAGATAGCCTGAGACCAAGAGCTGGAGGCTGCAGGGAGCTATGATCACGCCACTGTACTCCAGACTGAGTGATCCAGGGAGACTCGGTCACTAAAATGAATGAATGAATGAATGAATGAATGAATGAACGAGCTGAAATTGATAAGATACATAGTAGGAAATCAATATGTGCATATTTATTAGATCAAAATCCTGTTTCATTTTCATGGACCAACTCACTAGCTAGATTAATGAAAGAAGAAAGGGAGAGAGCACAAATGCACAAAATAGTAAATGACAAATGATAATCATTTAAACAGAAAAAAATGAGGTTACTTTTCAAGGCTGTATGCAAATAAATTTTAAAATGCACATGAAATTGATAATTTCCTAGGAAAAACAGATTATCAATATTTTCACTCTAATGTTGGAAGGCTTAAATTGGCCAATTTTCATAGAAAAATTTATTAAGGAATGACTCCCATGGAGCACCTGGCTCACATGCTATTACAGGTGAATTCTAATGAACTTCAGAGATCAGATAGTATGCCAGAGTACCAATGCTCTATAAATTATTCAACAGCCTTAAAAAGGAAATTTTCATAACTCCCTTGATGAACCAAGTGTGACATGGGGAGATAAGTGTAGATGTAAAAAAGCTAGATAAAATATTAGTGAACAACACCCAACAACGCATTTAAAAAATCATAATATACTTTGGCAAAGTAGGATTTATCCCATCAATGCAGGTTGGTTAGATATTAGAAAGTACCTTGATATCATCCACCATATTAATACAATTAAAGACAAATATCATATGGTTATCACCAGAGATGCTGAAAAAGCCTTTGGAAAATTCAACACCTCTTTATGTTAAAAAATAGAAAAGCCTCAAGAAAATAGGGATCACAGGATGCTTTCCTAACATGAAAAAACATATATACCTAAGTCAGAATGCTAGTAACTTATTCAATGCGGTGGGGGGCGGGGGGCCACTCAAAGTTTTCCCCGGGGATCAGGAACAAGGAATGCGCGCTTACTACCTCACACCTATTCAATCTTGTATTACAAGTCTTATAGTCAATTGACTAGAGAAATCAATCATTCTCATAGGAATGAATTTCAAGAACTAAAAAGCACAGCAAAGGAAAGAATCAACAACGTGAAAAGGCAACTTTCACATGGGAAAAAATAGTTGTGAACCGTATATATGAATAAGGGTTTAATATCCAAATTTTATAAGGAAATCATACAACTCTATAGCAGAAAAACAATCCAATTTAAACAATGGGCAGAGGGCCTGAATAGATATTTCTCCAAAGAAGACATACAAAATGACTAACAGGTATAGGAAAAGGTACTCAACATCATTAATCATCAGGAAAATGCTACTATGAGGCAACACCTTACGACCATCAGGATAGCGATCATCAAAAAGCCAAGAGATAACACACATTGCTGAGGGTGTGGAGAAAAGGGAACCCTCGTACACTGCTGATGGGAATATAGATTGGGGCAACCATTATGGAAAACAGTACGGAGGTACCTAAAGAAATAGATTTTTTTTTCTGTTTTAGAAATAAAATAGTAGTCCTACATTTTTCTATTTTAGAAAAAAATATGGTTGTGAAAAATAGAACTATTGTATGACTCAGCAACTCCTTTTCTGGGTATCTACTCAAAGGAAATAAAATAACCACCTTTAAACGCAGTTGATCTTTTAAAAGTACCTGAACTCCCATGTTCACTGCAGAATTAATCACAAGCCAAGATATGGAAACAACCTAGGTGGGACGGATGTTTACATGCCCAACGAAGGGACGGATGGATACAGAAAATGTGTTGTATATTCACACTTTTAAAAGGAGATCTTGCCACTTGCCAAAACATGGATGAACCTGGAGGACATTATGCTAAGTGAAATAAGCCAGATACAGAAAGAGAAATATTGCATGATCTCGCTTATATGTGCAATCTGAAAAAATAAAAGTAAAATAAAACTCAAATATACAGAGGCCGAGAATAAAGCCGTGATTACCAGGGTCGGGGCGGGGCAGAAGGAGTGGGAGGAGGAAAGGGGGAGGTGTAGGTCAGAGGATACAAAGTAGCAGATATGTAGGATGAAAGAGACTAGAGATCTAGTGTACAACATACAGAATACAGTTAATAAAATTGTACTATTAAATATGATGTGGCATTTTTGCTAAATGAATAGATTTTAGCACCCCCTGCTACCGAAACCAAAAATGGGTAACTATGTGACATAATGGTTATGTTAATTTGCTCCACTATAATGATTGTCTTACTATTTATATGTGTCCCATAACATCATGCTGTATACTTTAGATATACACAATAAAACTTACATTTTATAAAATAAGTAAAGCCATCTCTATGTGCAGGTGATATTATGGTATACCTGAAAAACCCTGTGGAAACAATGATAAATCAACCGAAACAGTAAAAGAAGTCACTAAATATTCTATTGAGGATTTTTGCATCAATGTTCATCATGGATATTGGCCTGAAATTTTGTTTTTTAGTTGTGGCTCTGCCAGGTTTTGTCATCAGGATGATGTTGGTCTCATAAAATGAGTTAGGGAGGATTCCCTTTTTTCTGTCATTTGGAAAAGTTTCAGAAGGTATGGTACCAGCTCCTCTTTGCACCTCTGATAGAATTCTGCTGTGAACCCGTCTGGTCCTGGACTTTTTTTGCTTGGTAGGCTATTAACTGCTGCCTCAATTTCAGACCTTGTTATTGGTCTGTAAAGAGATTCCAGTTCTTCCTGGTTTAGTCTTGGGAGAGTGTAAGTGTCCAGGAAGTTATCAATTTCTTCTAGATTTACTGGTTTATTTGCATAGAGGTGTTCATAGTGTTCTCTGATGGTAGTTTGTATTTCTGTGGGATCAGTCGTGATACCACCTTTATCATTTTTTGTTGCATCTATTTGGCTCTTCTCCCTTTTCTTCTTTATTAGTCTGGATGGCAGTCTATCTAATTTCTTGATCTTTTCAAGAAACCACCTCCTGGATTCGTTGATTTTTTGAAGTTTTTTATGTGTCGCTATCTCCTTCGGTTCTACCCTGGTCTTAGCTGTTTCTTGTCTTCTGCCAATGAAATACTGGCAAACCGAATCCAACTGCACATCAAAAAGCTTATCCCTCACAATCAAGTAGGCTTCATCCCTGGGATGCAAGGCAGGTTCAACATATGCAAATCTATAAACGTAATCCATCACGTAAACAGAACCAAAGGCAAAAAACACATGATTATCTCAGCAGACACAGAGAAGGCCTTCGACAAAATTCAACAGCCCTTTATGTCAAAGATTCTCAATAAACTAGGTACAAATGGAACATATCTCAAAATAATGAGCTATTTATGACAAACCCACAGCCAATATCATACAGAATGGGCAAAAACTGAAAGCATTCCCTTTGAAAGCCAGCACAACACAAGGAGGTCTTCTCACACCACCCGGATTCAACATCATAGTATTGGAAGTTCTGGCCAGGACAATCAGTCAAGAGAAAGAAATAAAGGATACTCAATTAGGAAAAGAGGAAGTAAAATTGTTTCCATTTGCAGATGACATGATTGTATATTTAGAAGACCTCATAGTCCCAGCCCCAAATCTCCTTAAGCTGTTAAGCAACTTCAGCAAAGTCTCAGGATACAAAATCAGTGTGCAAAAATCACACGTATCCCTACACACCAATAACAGACAAACAGAGAGCCAAATCATGAGTGAACTCCCATTCACAATTGCTACAAAGAGAATAAAATACTAGGATACAACTAACAAGGGATGTCACGAAGGACCTCTTCAAGGAGAACTACAAACCACTGCTCAAGGAAATAAGAGAGGACACAAACAGATAGAAAAAAAAAAACATTCCATGCTCATGGTTAGTAAGAAGCAATATCATAAAAATGACCATACTGTCCAAAGTAATTTATAGATTCAATGCTATCCCCATCAAGCTACCATTGACTTTCTTCACAGAATTGGGGGGGGAAAAAAAGCCTTGAATTTCATATGGAACCAAAACAGAGCCTGCACAGTCAAGACAATCCAAAACAAAAAGAACAAAGCTGAAGGCATCACACTACACGATTTCAAATGATACTACAAGGCTACAGTAATCAAAACGGCATGGTACTGGTATCAAAACAGATATACAGACCAATGGAACAGAACAGAGGCCTCAGATATAGCACCCCACATCTACAACCATCTGATGTTTGACAAACCTGACACAAACTAGCAACGGGGAAAGGATTCCCTATTTAATAAATGGTGTTGAGAAAACTGGCTAGCCATATGCAGAAAGCTTAAACTGGATCCCTTCCTTACACTTTATACTAAAATTAACTCCATATGGATTAGAGACTTAAACATAAGACCTAAAACTATAAATACCATAGAATAAAACCTAGCCAATACCATTCAGGACATAGGCATGGGCAAAGACTTCATGACTAAAACACCAAAAGCAATGGCAACAAAAGCCCAAATTGACAAATGGGATCTAGTTAAACTAAAGAGCTTCTGCACAGCAAAGGAAACTATCATCAGAACGAACAGGCAATCTACAGAATGAGAGAAAAGTTTTGGAATCTACCTATCTGACAAAGGGCTAATATCCAGAATCTATGAAGAACTTAAACAAATCTACAAGAAAAAAAAAAGAACAAAAACTGGGCAAAGGATATGAACAGACACTTTTCAAAAGAAGACCTTTAGGCAGCCAACAAACATATGAAAAAAAAGTTCATCATCACTGATCATTAGAGAAATGCAAATCAAAACCACGATGAGATACCACCTCATGCCAGTTAGAATGGCAATCATTAAAAAGTCAGGAAACAACAGATGCTGGAGAGGATGTGGAGAAATAGGAACAGTTTTACACTGTTGGTGGGAATGTATATTAGTTCAACCATTGTGAAAGACAGTGTGGTGATTCCTCAGGGATCTAGAACTAGAAATACCATTTGACCTAGAAATACCATTTTACCCAGCAATCCCATTACCAGGTATATATCCAAAGGATTATAAATCATTCTAGTATAAAGACACATGCACACATATGTTTATTGTGGCACT